CGATCAATAACATACTCCCACTGAGCTCTTGCACACAGCCATGATACAGTGGCTTTAGCAAATACACATACACACACACACGCACGCACACAAACACACACACAGAGCTATGAGTCAAACAGACTGGCCCGGTCTCACCACTCTCACACTGAGGGATCCGTGACAAGAGAGAGGGGAATCCAACAGCAAGCTTTATCGATCCAGACTGGAAACCCCCCTCAGGCCACACACACACACACTTACTATAGTTGTGCTGGATCAATGAGTGCTCCTGTGTGAAGGACAGAGCAATATAGAGAGGCACACAAATACACAGACACCTTTATAGACACACTCACACACAGTGTTGAGAGATGAAACAGGCAGTCTGTATCAGAGAGCAAGATAAGGGGCAGAGAACAATGCGTATCATCTGACCTAAACAGTCTCATCTGACACCCTGCAATTTGCCATTGCTCCATGGAGCAAATGTTAACACTGCAACACAAGCCTGAACACATACTGTAGATACACACGAGTGCCAATGCACAAGCGTAGCAGCACGCAGGAGGCCCATACTGATATTTTCACTCTTCAGTTAGACAGTGAATGATTTGTTTAGAGGATCAGATGAAACAGAGTGAACAACACCAGACATAAGAGAGCCCTAGAGGTGTTGCTGCTCTCTTTTAGGTGACTGTGATAACATCAAATTAGACACACACACACACCCCAGTCCACACACACCCCTCGGTCCTCCTCTTTCTCTCTCTCTCTCTCTCTTGCTTTCTCACTTTCTCTCTCTCACACAAACACAAATAGCACATGTCTGCTAATGTCTGATTTATCCACAGAACACAGCTCTGAACCACAGCAGTGACAGTGACTGAGCAGCCAGGAATGTGTCAGGCAAAGGCCATTTCATCAGCCTTATTTTTGAATGAATGAAGCATTCTGTCATCTTCTCTCACTGGGACCAGTACCAGCAACACAAATAAACACAAATAGATTGATTATTATTGATAAAGAGAAATCAACAATCACAAGAAAGTCCATTACGTTCTGAAAGCAAATCACTTTTTAAAAAACAAACAAACAAACAAACAAAAAAACATCCCTGGATTTAAAGCTTGGACTTCATTTGCAATAACAGAGAAAATTCTTATTTCTCCACCTGCAAATATTCCATTTATGTAGTGGAATGAGATTAGATCATTTGCTTTCCATTATTAACCACAGACACAAACAGAGTGAGCATGAACTTGGAAAATGAACCTGAAGCTTTTGTCTGCAGTCTTAGTTTGGGCTTTTTGATGAATCATTGATTATGAGTGGCTGAATCTCCTACCAGGGACAATGGCGACGGTGTCTTTCTCCCAGGAAACAACGCTGACATACTCCTGGACAGCTGAGGGGATGAGGCACTTGAACACGGCAACATTACCCCGCATGGAGCGCTGGTCGGCCACACGGACTGTGTAGGGCTCCCTGAACACTGGTATGTGAAGAAAAGAGTTGATATTAGTCACTAGATGTACACTGGGTGAGAGTGACAGTGGACACTTCAGTTTAATAAACTTCAATCTGATATTAATACTGATATTTAAAAATGACAGATGAATGCTGATATCATAAATTGGGAGTCTGCACAAACTGTGATATGAGAGGTATAGTTTACTTTTATGCTTTAATTTAATCAAATCTACATCTCTCAAATAGCTTTTTATATACAATTTAGTCCACAAAGGCTGTCAACAGCCCACAAAAGTCTTTATAATGTTTAGTCAAGCAAAGTACCACAGGAGGGCTACCATACAGCCAAATCATAAAAAGATTGGGATACTCTATAATAGAGTTCAGACACGTAAAGGCAATATGTAATTACAATGTAAGAACACAAGGTAAAGATAATCTGATAATAATGTGTTACATTTTCATTGAAAACATTTATTCTTCCTTTTAAATTAAGGAACTAAATTCATAAAATTACATATATTTGCAATATCATTTGTTGTGTTTCTCTTTACTGTCTACCGTACATACTGGTATTTAGTGTAACATGTTACACAGTAACGTGCTACTGTAATCACATTACACTTTTCAATAGCATGTTACTGTATTGCATTAAATTCAGTAATTGCATTACATTTGCAATTATGTTGTTATAAAGGTTCTTTCAGTTCTCTACAGGATGCATCAACAGAAACAATAAAAACACCAAACAGGACTTTTTCTTCCTGCACTTGTACTGAAATCCAGAGTAACCATAGTTGTTGTTTTTTTAATTTCCTAATTAGTTTTTTACTTTTATTTTCATTTTTATTTTCATTTTTAATTCCATTTAATTTCATTCAAAGTAATTTTTTAAAATATGTTTAGCCCTATGACAGCTGGGATAGGCTCTGGCAGCCCCCGCGACCCTGAAAAGGATAAGTGGAAGCAAATGGATGGATGGATGTTTAGTTTAATTTAGTTTAGTCTCTTTAATTATTATCTTATAAAGGGCTTATGTCAGAGGTAAGATTTAGGAAAATAAGTATCAATATTAAAATGAAAACACTTACGTTTTTGAAAGCATTACCTCACAATCTTGTAAACATCCAGAGTTTCAATAAACACATACATCAATGTCTCATTGGGAATGTTGTAATAATATTTTTTTAGCAGACTAACAGATACTAAAACTCACTTCTATTTTGGTTTTCCAAATTCACAATATCATTTCAGTTAATTTGCATTTGTCTTCAAAAGTCTAGTTTTTACTTTTATTTTAGTTAACTGCAATGTTTCTCACATCTAATTGGAGTATCGGAATTTCAGGAGTGGGACCTCTAAACACGCTCCTTCCGGTTGTCATCTAGGTTCCCCCAGTTCTACAAGCTGTTTATTCTCGTTTACGTGCCCCACCCTCCCTCTTTGTTTTCAATTCTTTAACTTCTTCACTTCTATTTAGTGCATGGGGATCTGCCAGGCCCGGGAGCCATCGCCAGTCAAGGCCTTCCCCCAAACCGCAGCTCAATTCATGTCCAAGCATTCACCTTTACCTACTAAAACGCTGTCAAACCTAAAATGAGGACGTTGGCCCAGCTGGTGAATTTTAGTTTTTAGGAAAAGGGTGGCAAAGTCTACATCTTTAGAAGTAGAGATTCAGGCATTGCGTTGGTTTTTATTGCCCAAAAAATAAGAATGTAGTAGTAAAAGTACAAACTACATCCAGGAGTCTGTATTTTTACCTGTTCATGTTCCTGCAGGAGAATTGCTGTGATGAACATGGGGACGTCGCTTTCAGATGGTTTTCAACTTTGAATGTAAACACTAAAAGTAAGATTGTATGATTGTCCTTACTAGGATATTGTTTTGCCTCAGTTTATAGAACTGTAGGTAATTATGTGCGACAAATAATGTAACAAATTACTTATTTTGGAGATTAATTAAGGTAATGAATACATTTTGAGAAAAGTAACAAGGAATGTGGAACACTGAGCTAACAATGCTGGCGGTGAATACTTTTAGGTATTGGAAATTACAACCTAAAATATATCTTAAATGTGTGGAAATTCTTTATTATAATATTCTTTATTCTCTATTATTCTTTATAGTTGCTCTCTATAGAATCAGAATTCATTAACTGAACTTAAAGGATCATTTTTTTAGTCATTATTATCAAGAATTGGCATTCGGATATAGTGATAGTCCTGATTTTAAGCAGTGGTATAAAAAATAGTAATACATCTAAAACAAACAACAACGAAAAAACACAAATATTTTTTTCAAATACTTTTTTCACATGTTGACAATTCACAGCTGACATCTGTCCTGTTCGACAAATACTTCAAGCAGGGTGAGTAAAAAACCTTGTCTGGTGCTCTGTTCAGCCACATTAAGCATGTTTTTCACTGTTCAGCCACAGCTTTAAAAATCACGGGGCGATTGTAAGGAGGACCGACTCGGAGCTGTGTTGAAGGGGATACGTAGCGAGTTGCTGCTGGCCTTTTAAAGAACAACGCCACAGATGCTATGAGACGGCAAAGAGTGGAGGGTTGCACAGAGCCGATGGAACTGTCACATGCAGGCGCCAGGGCATCAAAAACACACCCTCTGCACATGGCATGCAGAGCACTAAACTGTGAATCTGTGCCAGTGTACAGAAAGGATGGTGGCGATTAAGACAGGCTTAACGATGAAAACACTAGCCTGTAGCAATAGCCTGATTGGTGAAAAATGTGAAATGCTGAATCAGAGCATAAATTTTCATTAAATAAATTAAGTGAAATTAAATTAATGGATTATTCTGGTAAGAAGGACAGACAGGTAGTTCAAGGACATGCTAGCTCGAGCGAATAAACAGAGCTGTTTTATAAACTGAACTGTGTGGCCTTGGCTGCTATCTTCATCTCATTTGTTTAAAGGTATGTTGCCAGATTTTTCAACACAGACAATTCACATTGGACACTATTTGACTTGAATAAGACGAACAGAAAAACAAAGTTACAGAAGTCAGAAAGGGTCTCAGAAAGGCTGATATTAGGGAGTGTTTCCAGCAATCTATCAATGCGGGCTCTCTTTAGAAATGAGGGCAGTAATGACTTAACAATGTAAAACACACATACACACAACAGAGGGAGTGGCCCTGCACTCCTATGTGTTCGCTCTCCCCCAGCTCTCCAGTGATATAATTAACGCCTAGCCTGAAGGCCAGTTTCCTTGGTCATTAATAATGCTTTATGCCAGCCGCCACTGTCACTGGAACCCATTGGAACCAAAGCCAGTGTCCTTGTCCAAACGGTGGGGAGTCTTTCACCTTAAAGTTCGATGTTTAATTTCCTGATTCTTTGTCTCACCATGTCTATTTCTTTCACACTAGCCTACTTTATCCATGTTCATCTAATCCTTGGGCCTTGTTAAGGAGTTAAGACTGGGGCAGACTGTGTCAACACCATGGAAATGTCACTTTTTGACATATATATGATCCTGCCAAAAACAGATGATGCATATTGGCTATTGAGCCTTGACACTGACAATTATGGCACTACCATGCCACTTTGGACCTTAATTATGCCTGGTTATTGTTTCTCACTTGGTCACCTAACTCACGGGCGGCTAATGTGAATTGAAGCTTAATTTGTAAATAAATCAAAACTAAAACACAATTAATTCCAATCAGGTCCTAATCTCAGTTTTTCATTTAAACAGCCCTTGCTTTTCACTGAAGCCATCTACCTCAGATCGATACCCTGGATCGACAGAGTGGCCTCGGCTGTTGTGGCCGAGCCAATTCTTTCAATCATTTATTTACTCTCTGACTGACCCTGCTGCCTCTCGTCAATAGCAAGTAAAATCCCCAATGCCCACTGAGCCTCTCATAGAGTGTTTAAAATCGGCTTGGCAGATTGTAAATGTTTGGCGTGATGATGACAGTGGTCACATTTTAATACAGCAGAGGTGCTAAACCAGTCAAGGTCACCTCGGGTTTGTACTTCCTGTCAATGATCCCACCTTGCCCTACACTTGATTCCTTTTAAGAAAGTGTTGTTTAACCACTCGTTACCCCATTAAAATCTGTCAATCAAGCCATGTATGGCGACATGCCCTTGGACCCATCTATGTAACCGACCCCACTAAGAGGCAGCTGTTGTGATAGCATTGTCATTTATCACACGTTTCTCTTAGAAAATATGAAAGACAGAGAGGAAAAAAACCATTACATATTCATCCTCTTAAGCCTTGTGACATGATGCAAATGGTACCCCAACTGATTTGTGTGTAAATTGCACTCCCCCTCATCGCATGCGCAGCAGAATCATTAGGATGTTACTGATGCCTGACTATATGCAGCCTGGTTGCCTAGATACGAGTTAAAACATGGGTCTGGGCGACTGGGCGCACTGGGAGGCAAGTCCTGTATCACTGTCGCTTCAATAATTAACGACGGAGAAACCAAATACTGCATTTACTTATTCATAAAGCAAGCATTAAAAACACAGCAAAGGGAAAGGATAGAAACGGGGAAGTATAATGAAATACAAGAGAAATGAATGGATGCGGGTTGCATTATTGAATTGAAAAGGATGAAAAAAAGCAGTCTATCAGGTTCAGGTTCAGACAGATATGAGGAGGGCAGATAGAAGAAATAGATCTAAACACCTGCTGCCTTGGCCCTGTCCTACGTAGGTTTGTGTGTTTTAGGTGGAACAAAGGGGAGATAGGGTGGGGCTCACCGAACAGGTCTACCCAAATCATTATACCAAGTTTTTGTAAAGATGTGTTATGTGAGCAAAAAACAAAACTCTCAGATGTTTTTTTGCAATTTTGTTTTAAATTTCTATCCTTCAAATGTCCTTTGGGTCTTTTGTTTATTAACAGACAGAGAAAAATGCTAAATTTGCTTTATGAGAAAGTCCCTTGATATTTTTAAGTTTTGAACTGAAGCTAAGGTAATGCTAGGCGGATAGACAGATAGATATACAGTACAGTCATGAAAAAAGGTTTTCTTTTTTGGTCAGAGTTGAATTCAACAAATTATACCATTTATAATATAATATTGAAATTTTTGTTTAGTTAACTGGTGGTTGTTGGTGTGGATGTGCATTTCTCTGTCTTGGGTAGGGTGTACCCTGCATCTCCCCCTACGACTGCTGGGTTAAGCGCCTAACCCTCCAGTAAGTACAGATCAAACTGAAGATGAAACTCAAGTTGCCATGCACACTCCAGTTTAAACATACGTATATCAATAGCCTTTCAGTTGCCTCTGGATATGAGAATGTATCAAACTGTTTTACCAAAAATAGTTGCGTGCAATAGACTGGTGTTACACTCGAGTGAAAAATGCACAGAGAAAACTAGATTTTTCAAAATGAGATACCCAAACAAAAACATATACAGGAAAACAAGCAGCCCACATACTGATTTTCATAAATGTAGAGCTATCCAGACAGGTGCTTGAGCTATTATTGGACCACAATCAGCATGCAAAGAAAAGGGTGAGAAAGAGGGGGAGGGATAAAGAGAGAGAGGGAGATGTGAAGATGTGAAGAGAGAGAGAGAGAGGGGGAGAATGACGCAGGGGGAAGTGGGAGAGAATTTTTTTAGGGGGGGGTGTCACACTGTGAGCTGTCAGCTGTCATCATTCTCCTGCACCACCTGAGACAGGGCATGCCACACCCTAGCGCTCACGCCTCTGTCGCCCATGGCAACTACAGGATTTTGTGTGAGTGTAACCGAGCCTGTGTGTTGTGTACAACTCTAGGGGTAATGAGGCACACACATGCATGTGAGCTCTGGTTATGGAGCTGTGGAGTTGTGGTTGCCTCAGCATTTAATTGATTAATTGTTGTAATTATTTGGGAGGGAAGGTCATCCCAGCACAGAGACTGGCTGTAAGGTCACTCTCACGCTGAAGGGACTGTCATCCTCTGGGGACCACATATGAGAGTGTTTGTGTTAGTGGTCGCGAGGAAGATGATCCAGCAGCATTTTGGAGAATGATTTTGTTGGTATACGTGTGTGCTAAGGAACTGCTGACTCTCTCTTCAGTTAGAATTGATAAACACAGTCAAAATGCCTCACTGGCTATTAGCATGACCTAAAAATCTACTTTTTTTTTCAGGATTTCTTTTCACATCTTTTCATGTGTCTAGCTCACTCCAAAATCTTTCCTGCCAAACACCCTTACAAAGAGCTGGCGACTAAACACCATGAGCCAGCTTGAGGAAAATGGCTGAGCCTGTGTTTCAGTGTGTGTGTGTGTCTGTGTTAGCCTGTGTGTGTGTGTAGTTAGGGGACTTTCCAGTTCATGGACAGATGGAGAGACTGGGAGACAGGAGGCTTGCTGGCACGAGCTATTCGCAGGCTGGTGTGCATGTTGGTATGTGTTTGTTTGTGTGTGCGCGTGCATGTGTGGGTCCGTGTTTGTGTACTTGCGCATTAACATGCAAACGTGCATATCTATTGTATAAAGTGTGTATCACATGAGGTCATGTGCATGTGTTTTTTACTTTTTGTGGTGTGTGTGTGTGTGTGTGTGTGTGTGTGTGTGTGTGTGTGTGTGTGTGTGTGTGTGTGTGTGTCACCGTGCAAGTGTTAAAAGATCAGTAACACCTTTCCTCGGTGTGTTCAGCACCTCTCTCCAGCTTTGACCTTGGCAGGGAGTGTGGACAGGTCACCAAACCAACTGTCTCTGTGCCTGCATGTGTGTCAGGGCACTCGGAGCTACTTAAGCCCCACCGAGAAAAGTTTTTGGTTTAAAATGACAATATGACTGTGGGCTGTTTGTGTGACCATATTTTCAGATGCTGGCTGTGGCTATGTTATTTTTGTGATCACTTCAATGTGTGCCAAAAAAAACTGCCTCCAGCTTGCCACTTGGACATTTTTTGGTGAGTATTTAGTGAAGTGAAAATTTTCAGAATGTCCACATAATATTATTTTATTGATAACCTTAGTGGTCTCCAATGGGCCCTCAACAAATTTAAAACATGAAGATCAGTTTTCTTGTCATATTCCAACGCACTGTACTCGACCAGTTTGGTGGCACAAGAATTTGTTTTTCAAAACTTGAAGTACCTCTCCTGAAAAAGTTTTGCTACCTCTCTTTTTTTTGTTACAGAAAATGTATCCAATCACTGAAAGAGTCCAGTAGTGGCTTTCTATAGTAAAGCTAAAGAAAAAGTCAGTCTAGAAATGAACGAAAAAGTCTTTTTGTTATGATGGTCATAACATGGTCATAACAGTGGACACAAAATACTTCTATCTCCATGTTAGTTTTAATAACGGCAACAACTACCGGGCCAGAAAAGCATGAAAAGGTAAGGTTAGTTAGTTCACCTGCCCTGAACATACATGATATGACAAAAGTTGCACCTCTTAATCTTTGAATAGGAGCTCACTGAATTGAAATGTGGTACTATAATAACATGTCACCATTACAACAAGTCAGTTTGTGAAATTTCTTCCCTCCTAGATATCGCATGATTCTACAAAGTGATATTTTCACAAAGTGGAAGCATTTAGAAACAGCTGCCACTTGGCCATGAGGTCGAAGGTCATGTAAAGTTACAGAGCAGGTTTGCCAAGTGCTGAGGTTCCATAGTGTGTAAAAGCTGATACCACTCCACTGACTCAGTAACTGCAGAGCTCCAAACCTTCTTTGGCATTAACATCAGTACAAAAACTGCACACTGGGAGCTTCGTAGCATGACTTTCCATGAGCAGCTGCTGTATGTGTAACATGTAGGTGGACCAGTACTTTTAATGTACATTTAAAACTGACCTTAAATACAATAACACTGACATCAATAATATATTCTAAATACATATAAAGAAGAAAAAAGGTAATAGTCTGCTGGTTTGGTAAGTAAGAGACATAGTAACATTCCTGAATTAAAGTGTCCTTCTGGCCATTCAGTTTTAAGCCCTCACCTGCTTTGATGTGGATGCTGGGGCTTCGAATCTTGCCCGCTTGGTTCTCAGCAGTGCAGAAGTATTCGTTGTCATGGATAATGCTGTTATAGGCGGAGGGGGAGAAAGGGTAGAGCTGGAGGGTGCCGTTGGCATGCACGTGGCGGATATGGGGCACGTCGTAAATGTCGTCTCCGGCAGCCAGGTACCAGCGCAGGACGGCATGGGGGGCGCCACCCGCGGGGCAGGGCAGGGACACCCCCACCGAGCTGGAGAAGGTCACCCGCTGCAGGGAGGCGTTCACAAAGTACAGCCGCGTAGAGACAACATCCTCACTGTTGACTGTTAGGATGAGAGAAGGGGAGACAGAGTTAAATAGCTGATATGTGTCAGATATAGATACAACATTCACGCCCAATATAGAATGTGCACAATCAAGGACCAAGGAGACTGAATAAAGTTGCATAGCATGATAAACTGCAACAGACAGCCAGTGCATTAATAATGAAATATATAGTATATTAATTGTACTTGTTCACTTTGCAACTTAAACTTTGACTTTTTTGTAATTATAATTACAATTATTATGAAAAACTAAGCAGATAGATAGATAGATAGATAGATAGATAGATAGATAGATAGATAGATAGATAGATAGATAGATAGATAGATAGATAGATAGATAGATAGATAGA